TGTGAGAGAGACACATCGACTGGTTGCCTGCCGCACGACCCCAACTGGGGCTGGGGACTAACCGCAACCGAGGTACATGCCCTTGGACAGAATCGGAACTGGGTCTCTCCGGACTGCAGGCCCACGCTCTAACCGCTGAGCCAAACCAGCCAGGGCAAGTTCGTGAAATCTGGAATCTCTGAGAAATGGGGTGGGGCCTCAAGGCTCTCAAGTAGGACCTCTGACGTGCCCCCTTTATCCCCAGGACTCGCCCTTCTTCCAGCAGTACGAGCTGGACCTGCGGGAGCCCGCGCTGGGCCAGGGTAGCTTCTCTGTGTGTCGCCGCTGCCGCCAGCGCCAGAGTGGCCAGGAGTTCGCAGTCAAGATCCTCAGCCGCAGGTGGGCCGGCCTGGGGTGGGCGGGCTGGAGGAGCAGGCTCCAGGAGGGCGGGGCCAGAGGCCATGCATCCTGACCCTGTTTGCCCTGCCCCCAGGCTGGAGGCGAACACACAGCGCGAAGTGGCCGCCCTGCGGTTATGCCAGTCGCACCCCAACGTGGTGAAGCTGCATGAGGTGCATCAGGACCAGGTGATGCCTTCCTGGGCTGGAGTGGAAAGCAGGGATGCTAGAAGCTGCCGGTGGAGGGCGGGGAGGACAGGAGGTGGGGTTTGTGGGGGCCATGGGCGAGGCCAGGGGGTGGGATTGGAGGGGAGAGGGCTGGAGGACCAAAGACTAAGCTGAGGATGGCCAAGGGAATGAAATTTGAGGAGGGTGTGGAGGGCGTTGGATTTAAGGTGGCCAAAGGGCCTGGGGCCTGGAAGGCAATAGGGGTGGTTCTTTTGGGATATCTGGAGGTCGGGCGAAGGGGTTTGAGGTCTGAGGCTGGGGGCGGGCCTTGTCGTTGACTATGGCCGGCCCTGCCTTGAGCAGCTGCACACGTACCTGGTTCTGGAGCTGTTGCGGGGCGGGGAGCTGCTGGAGCACATCCGCAAGAAGCGGCATTTCAGCGAGTCCGAAGCGAGTCAGATCCTGCGGAGCCTCGTGTCGGCAGTGAGCTTCATGCACGAGGAGGCGGGCGTGGTGCACCGCGACCTTAAGCCCGAGGTGGGCGTGGGGCCTCGGTGGCAGGGTCGGCGGCAGGGTCGTGCTGCAGCGCGGAGGGCCAGCCTCTGATGGCCGCCTGCCGCCCTCACAGAACATCCTATATGCTGATGACACCCCCGGGGCCCCGGTGAAGATTATCGACTTTGGGTTCGCGCGGCTGCGCCCCCAGAGCCCCGCGGGGCCCATGCAGACGCCCTGCTTCACGTTGCAGTACGCGGCCCCTGAGCTGCTGGCGCAGCAGGGCTACGACGAGTCCTGCGACCTCTGGAGCCTCGGTGTCATTCTGGTATGGGGCGGGGTCCCCGAAGAGGATTCAGGGTCACCCGAGGTTGAGGTCAGAGGTCTTCCTGATGAAGGGCAGCAGAGGCACCAGGGGCAGGGGGCATCTTGGTGGGAGTGTTAGGGTTTGGTATGAGGCTGAGGTCAGAGGTCATGCTAACACTAAGGCAGGGTCGCTCCGGTGCCGGGGTGGGCATCCAAGTATTCCGAGTTGGAAGGCAGGGTCGTAGGCAATGGGCCTTAAGAGGTACCCTTGAGCAGAGGGTGAATGGCCCTGGGGGGTGGGCTGAGGCAGCCTCCTGGCCTCCCTTGGCCCGCAGCCTGGGCCAGTCTCACTTTTCCCCCAACCCCCAGTACATGATGCTGTCGGGGCAGGTCCCCTTCCAGGGGGCTTCAGGCCAGGGCGGGCAGAGCCAGGCGGCCGAGATCATGTGCAAGATCCGCGAGGGGCGCTTCTCCCTTGATGGGGAGGCCTGGCAGAACGTGTCTGAAGAAGCCAAGGAGCTTGTCCGAGGTGCGGAGCGTCACAGGTCCTCTCTGGGGAGGGGAGGCCACGGGGTCATGTTGGGATAGGGATCACCACTGGGTCCAGTGTCCTGGTGAGGGGACTGGTCCGGGAGGAGAGTGGGGCTGTTAGGAACTCGCTGCTCGCCCTAAGACTTCCCCTTCCCACGTCCAGGGCTCCTGACTGTGGACCCAGCCAAGAGGCTGAAGCTGGAGGGGCTGCGCGGCAGCTCGTGGCTGCAGGACGGCAGCGCGCGCTCCTCGCCCCCGCTCCGGACACCGGACGTGTTGGAGTCCTCTGGGCCGGCCGTGCGCTCCGGGCTCAACGTCACCTTCATGGTGAGGGGCGGGGCCTCTGGGTGGGCGTGGGGTGTGGACCGAGCCTGGAAAGGTGGGGTCTCGCGGAGGTGAAGTCCTCAGAGCCCAGGGAGGCGAGGTGAACGGAGGCTTGGTCTCAGGCGGGTTGGGGACCTTTTAGGATGTTGGAGGCCGGAGGCCAGCGGCCTGTTGGCCTTGACCTAGTGGCGTGGGAGAGAGGGTCCGGGATGGGAGCCAAAGCTGGGGTCTAGAAGTCGAGGCGGGCTGGTGGTGGGGGGCTCACGCCGTATTTTGTCAGGCGTTCAACCGGGGCAAGCGAGAAGGCTTCTTCCTCAAGAGCGTGGAGAACGCGCCGCTGGCCAAGCGGCGGAAACTGAAGCTGCGGAGTGCCGCCACCTCCCGCCGGGTCTCCCCTGCGCCCGCGGCCCCGGGCCGGGCCCCAGCCGCCAAGGGGGCGCCCCGCCGAGCCAACGGCCCCCTGCCCTCCTCCTAGCCCCTCCCCCCTGACCTCCCCTTTCCCCAGAGGGGCTTTGACCTGGCCTCCAGCTCATCCGCTCCGCTCCACTCCATCCCCAGGGATTGCCCTTCCCTCCCTTCCCCCACTCCCAGACAGAGCAGAAGTATTTTTATAAGCAGAGAATTTTTTATGTCTTACCAGATAGAATTAGAGATGCAGGGAGGGAGGGAGCCTGCTGGGGAGTGGGGTGTGGGGGGCCCTCGGCCAAGACTGCCTCTATTGGCTGAAGGAGCTTCTCCCCCAGGGGGCTACTCCAGCAGGGAAGGGCTCCTCCCCAGTTCTAAGCACTGAGTTGCCACAGGGAGAAACTGGGACCTCTCCCCTGTCCTCCCCTGAGGCTCTGCTCTCAAGCTGTCACTTTATGGATTGTCTGTGCAATTACGTCCACCAAAGACCCGTGTTGGGGAGTTCAGGAAGAGGCCCTGGGGGACCCCTTGAAGCATTATTGCCTCACGTTATGTCACCTGCTTCTCTCCTACTGGGGCTAAGGAAGGAGGCCCCCTTTTTACCCACCCCTCCCCTTTGGCACAGCTGCCCCTGGCAGGGGGTAGTTTGGGGATCTGGGCTGGCATCCACAGTCACTGCCTCAGCTCATCTGGGAGGCTGTGCCTTTGACATTAAAATAAAAATCCACCCAGTGCTGTCTGTGGCGTCTGTGGCATCTGTGTATTTATGCGGGTGTGTGGGGCAGAGGTCTTGGGGCAGGCAAATGAACAGCCAATGGGGCTCTTTGTCCTTGGCTTTTGCTGTGAGTTGTAGGGGGACAGTCATCTTGGGTATGTATCTGGACAGCTCTGCCATGTACACTTCAATTCTCTTGGTTATAAGTAATAGGAAACACAACCTAGACTTGCTTCAGCAGAATGGGAGTTTTAGGTTCTTGTAACTATACAGTTCAGGGGTAGCTTCAGGCAAGGCCTGATCCAGGTGCAAACATGATCAGGACTTAGCTTTCCAGTCAGCTTTCTATTTGTTTTCTTGGTGTTGTTGCAGTCTGGAGGACTCTTATTTTGGCTCTAAGATGGGTGCCAGGTGCTCCAGAGGCTGTGGGATGGATTGTTTAAAAAACATTGTTTCTGTCCTGGCCAGTTTGGCTCAGCGGTTAGAGCGTCAGCCCCCGGACCAGAGTTGTGGATTCGGTTCCGGTTAAGGGTACATACCTCGGTTGCAGTTTGGTCCCTGGCCCTGGTTGGGGTCATGCAGGAGGCAACCAATCGATGTGTCTCTCTTACATCGATGTTTCTCTCTTCCTCCCTCCCTCCTCTCCACTTTCTCTAAAAATCAATGGAAAAAATATCCTTGGGTGAGGATTAATAACAACAACAAAGAATACTGATGCCCCTGAGAGGGCCTGACAACCCTGAAAACATTCACTTGCCAAGTTCACTAGCTTCTGTTAGAACTGAAGTGGAGGTGCCGGCTTTCAGCCTGTGCTCTGCACAACACCGTCTGGCTCTGGGCAAGTTGCCCCTCAGTGTTCCCCGGGGCTCCCTGAGAACACCCCCCAGTGATGCAGCAGGGATTGCAAATGGGCTGCCTGTGTGCCTGTGTACAGAGACTTGGTGGTGGTGGGGCCGCTCATGTTTTTAAAAATTTGTTTATCGTCACCCGAGGACATTTTTGCATTCATCTTCAGATAGAGAGGGAGGGAGGGAGGGAGGAAGAGAGAGAGAAAAACATCGGTGTGAGAGAGACACACCGACTGGTTGCCACCCACATGACCCCAACTGGGGCTGGGGACAAACCGCAACCGAAGTACGTGCCCCTAGCGGGAACCGAACCCGGTCTCTGGTCCGCGGGCTGACGCTCTAACCACTGAGCAAAAACCGTCCAGAGCAAGCAGCACCTGTTTTAAAATGAGAAAAAGCATATGGAAATCTGGATGTTTGATTTTTGTTAATAAACTGCGAGGGCTGGCAGCCCCGGGGCACTCAGTTTTCCTGCGTGGCCTGATCAGCTGGAGCAGAATCACCTAGCCACAGAGACGGCCTTGCTTTCTAGTTTGCCACAGTCCCCCCCACTCCCTATCGCCCACACTGGCTCTGTTCCATTTACTTCCCTGGCCCCGCTAGTATTTCTTTGAGTTTGCAATTCTGACGGAACTGGTTTCCTTCCACATTTACTGCTGCACAAAAGTGGAGTTTGTAAAATGTCAAAGATGCTCCTTAAATCTTTTCTTTGTTGTTGTTGCAGAATTTAAATTTAATTTATATTTGTGAAAAGATATAAACATATGATCAAAAGTCAGAGGATACAAAGAGTACATAGTGAAAACTCTTCCACACGCCCTGGCCCTCAGCCGCCACCTGTTGTTACCAGAAGCGCCAACATCACCAGCTCCTGTGTAGTTTGAAATTCCTGTGAATGCAAAAATTCACCTTCATCGAATGTTCACTTCAGAAAAAATCAGAAAACAGAAAGGAAACACAAAATTATCTGGGGCGTTAGTCTCCACAGATAATCCTTTAGTTAACATTTTCATGCATTCATGTCCAGATTTTTCTTTACTGAAGGAGAGTTTTAATGGAAATAGCATCAAAATGTAAATAGCTTATTATTGCCTGTCTTAAACCCAGAAATGGATTGTGAGTATGTATGTCAGTGATGATGCTACAGTTTTTTGTGGTGGCATAGTATTCCATTGTGTGGATATATTAGAAGTTATTTTTTGCATTTATTTTTATCTCTATTTTTGGCTACTTGGACTGTTTCCAGTTCTTTGCTATTTTTAACAGTGCTGCAATGAACATCCATGTGCCTACACCTTTGCTCATCTGTCCAAATATTTCCTTAGGACACGTTTCCTAGAAGTGGAATTAATGGGAAATGCCCCTGCACACACGTTTTAAAGGCTTTGATATGTATGATCAAACTGCCCTTTAGAATGATCCCATCATTTAATATGACTTGCAGCAGCATGGACAAGATCCAAGATGCGCTGTCTCCTTGAAAATGAAACGACACCTCTCCCGCGGAGTGTGTCCTTGCTCACCCGGCAGAGCTCCTGACGGTCTCCAGAGGGCCTCCTCCCGCAGCCTGGAGTCTGGCTGGGCCGCGAAGGGGGGAGGCATATAGCCCGTCAGTAGGGTGGGAAGGAACCCCTCTCCCTCTCCCCTCCATGCAGGGACAGGCCGGAGCATCTGTGGGAAGGAGGTGGAGTTCCCAGAGAGAGGGGTGCGAGCGGGCAGGTGGGGCGTGGTTGGGAGCATGTGCTCTGCAGAACCTGGGAGCCAGCAGCAGTGGGTCCAAATCATGGTACTGTTCTTCCAGACAGGCAATAGGGACAGAGCCACCGGGACCCGGGCCTCCTCTGCCTCGGAGTGAAGCGGGGATAGAAGAGTGCCCACCGCAGAGAACTGGATGGTGCAGCAGGGCCCCTGGCAAGGCCGCCTGCACACTGGAAAAAAATTTTTTTCTTTATTGATTTTAGAGAGAGAGGAAGGGAGAGGGAGAGAGAGATGGAAACATCAATGAGAGAGAACATCAATTGGCCGCCTCCTGCATGCTCCCCACTGGGGCTCAGGCCCACAACCTGGGCATGTGCCCTGACTGGGAATGAACCGGAGAGCTCTTGGTGCATGGGTCGACGCTCAACCACTGAGCCACACCGGCCAAGCACAGCTTAAACTTTTTTAAAAATTAAGAGAAACAGCCCTGGCTGGTTTAGCTCAGTGGTTAGAGCATAGGACTGTGGTCCAGAGAGACCCGGGTTCGGTTCCCCATAAGGGCACGTACCTTGGTTGCAGTTTGTCCCCGGCCCTGATTAGGTTGTGCAGGTGGCAGCCACTCGATGTGTCCCTTTCATGTTGATGTTTCTCTCTCTCTCTCTCTTCCTCTCTCTCCCTCCTGCTCTGTCTGAACAAAAAATGGGAAAATGTCCTCGGGTGAGGATTAAAAAAAAAAAAAAAAATTAAGAGAAACAAGGATATCAGGATCGGCCCAGGTATGCTCCTGCCAGCGACCTGCCAGCGACCATGTTTGGGCACGAGAGAGGGGGCACTCTTCCCACCCGCCCCGCTGCCCCTCCGGAGGGTCCCGTGTCCTGGCGTGTGAGGGCCAGGTGGGCGCCCTAGCCCTGCCATTCTCACCACCCAGGGCGGGTCTGTCTTTCAGCTCCAGCCTGGCGTGGTATCAGCAGCTTGGGAACAAACAAACCAGCTGGGAGTGGGTGGTGGTGGGAACATACCCTTGTCTGTGTGAGTACACGAATGTGTGTGCATGTGAGTATGTGTGTGTGCACATGGGTGAGTATGTGTGAGAGTATGAATGTGTATGTGTGCACGTGAGCAAAGCATGTGTTGTGTGAGTGTGTAAATATATGTGAGTGTGCACCTATGAGTGTGCGCGCGTGTGCACGTGAGCAGCTCTTACTAGCACTCTGAGGGAGGCGCAGAGCGCAGGGTCGAAGCTTTGCAGCAAACACCCTGTTCTGCCAGTTTACCCCCCACCCCGCCCCCGGGAGTAGGTTCCAGCTGCACTTTACTGACCCCAGGGATTTGTGGGACTGAGACCCAGATGGCGTGGATGGCCCCGCCCCACGGCTGCACAGGTGAGCGGAGACAGGCATCAGGAGCTCAGCGTCTGGGAGCCTCCGCCCCAGTGCGAAGCCCGGCTCCCCGGTTCTCAGCTGAGACCGCCACTCCTGGATTTCTGAAAACAAGGTAAGGGCTTCTCGGCGAGAGAAGCAAGGAGACCATTTCCATCAGGGGCATCTCCCAGCAGCCCCTGAATGCGGCAGCTGCCCTGTTGGGGTGGTGGGTTGCCGTGGGTGGAGTACACACCCCATGCTGGGCCAGAGCCTCTCGCTGCTCCCCTCTTGGCCCTCCCAATCCCTTTGACTCCCTGGAGCCCAGGAGACAGTCATGCTCAGAGCGACTCTGGGACACCTGAAACCATCAGTTGAGTGACAGCCAGGGGCGCGTGTGCCCTGGGAAGAGGCACAGTGGGTTCCTGGGCCCTCTGTGTCCAGCTGAATCCGATTTCTGGGGGTGGGGTCGGGAATCTGCCTTTGTAACAAGCTTCCCTGATGCATGGTTTAGAGCTCCGGATCTCACCAACCACCCTACCTTCCCGATGGGGAGACCAAGGCCACACAGGGAAGGACACTTACCCACAGTCCCAGGGCTGCCGAATGAGAGCCAGGTCTCCTGATGCTTGTCTCCTGCTCATTAGGCCATGCTTTCTGCAGTGTGGAATTTTCCACAGGGACACAAGTCCAGTTTTATGGTAGGGACTCTCAGAAACCAGTATCTCCACCAGAAATTCAGGCCATCGCCACTTTCTTGGAAGGAGGTTGTGCTGTGGAGTAAGGGGTGTCTGCTGTGCCCCTCCCCCACGTATGTTATTTTCATGCCCAGCGGGGGCCAACAGGTGCCTGGCAGGGCCTGCTCTCTGACAGATCCCCACAAACCTGTCACAGGCTGGCTGCTGGGAGGACACTGGACACAGAGGGAGCTGGGAGAAACTGCCTCTGAGCCCTGGTCCCTTGGCAGTGGTGGGCTGGGGGGGCTTTTCTACCCCAAAGGAGTTGCAGACGCCACCCAGACTCTGCAGCTCAGCGCCCTTCCAGCTGCCTCGCGCGACTTCTGTGGCTGCCTCTCCTCTGCCCCAGGCTTGGACGCTCTCAGTGGAGGCCCAGGAACTGGACTCAGGAAGTGTCCTTAGTTGCCTTTGGAAAGAGGAGACACTTTCAGGGTATTTCCTTCACCGACAACAAGGATAATAATGACGTTGAACCCATTTATCAAGTCTTATGTGCCAGGCCCTGTGCTAAACCCCTTGTGTGCCATCCAGATACAAGGCAATACCATCATCACCACTGCTGTTGTCAGACAAATAGTAGTAATTGCTCATGTTACTGGGCACTTGCCCTGTGCCAGGAGCCAGGCACCAGCCAAGTGCTGCCCACAGATGATTTCATGTCATGAATAGGTTCTACATTATCTTTATTACGTGTTATTGTTCTATCTTATGGATTGAAGAACATGCACTCAGAGAGGTAAATTGTCCAAGGTCACACGATGGCATCCAGGAATGTTGGCCCTGGAACCCAGGTCTCTCTACTCCAGACCCTAAGCTCTTAATCACAATGTTTATTCTGGCTCTGAGCTACCTCTTACCTTGAAGACATTTCTTTCCTCTGCTATACATTTCAGCTTTCTCTGCACCTAAGGTCTCGCCTCAACTTGCAGAGCCTGAAGCGCCCTGACTGTCAGCTCTGGGCTTTCTTTGTCGGAGGCAGACATGCCAGCTCAGAAAGGCAGACATGTCAGCAGCCTTTGAAATAAAGCATGCCAGGCACCACGTGACTCTGTGGCGGTCCTCTTCCGAGCTCGGCTTTCATTCTGATCAGCCACTTGGTGCCACAATGGTCCAGAGACTCTGGAAATGGGGAATTAGAGTAAAGTGTTTCAAGGAGAAAAACAAACAACACAAACAAAAGATGGATGGGGAGGAACAAACTCCGTGAAAACCCAGGCGATAAAGACCCTGAGGTCCCAGTAGACCACCAGCTGAGCATTAGGCAGTTACTGTTTTCAATCATTGCTTGGAAGTGGAATATGACAGGAGACTTGTTAAGGTGAGCACCACAAATCAGGGTTGCATCTCAGGTGTAGAATGGGCTGAGAGTACCCGATACTTTGCCTCTTTTTATGCCATAATCACTGTTTCTGGACTTGCATTAGTCTCTTCTTGTGACCCCTCCACCCCCTGCCCAAGAAACCAGGTGAGAAATTAATCTGAGTCTGTTTCCTTACTTTTGTCTAGCTCTCAAGAAAATGTGTCCAAGGCTGCTATTTGCTTAACCAATATCCACACCCCTGTCTGTTGGGTGTGTCAATGGGCTTTTTATAATACCACATTTCTTAGCCTTTCAGAAAGAGGCCAATAAGATGTAATTAAAAGTTATTGGGTGGAGTTTCTGGGAAAGCTCTTGGAAGAAGGCTGACTTAGCTATGAGGCATGTCCTTTTGCACTTGCCCCTTTCTACTCCCTACTTCCTGGAATGTGGATGTAATGTCTGGAGCTGCAGTAACTATTTTGGGATCATGAGGTGACCTCAAGCATAGGACCCTCAAGTTAATGATAGCAGAAGGCAGGATAGAAGAACGTGGGTCACTGGTGGTCATGGAGCTGCTGTGTTAACTCTGCACTGGCTGCCACAAGACTTCTCTCTCTTTTTTTAATCCTCACCCAAGGATATTTTTACATGTATCTTCAGACAGAGTAGGAGGGAGAGAGAGAGAGAAACATCAGTGTGAGAGAGACACATCAATTGGTTGCCACCTGCACGACCCCAACTGGGGCTGGTGACTAACTGCAACCGAGATATGTGCCCTTGGCTGGAATCGAACCCAGGACTCTTTGGTGCGCAGGCCGATGCTCTAACCGCTGAGCCAAACTGGCCAGGGCTCCAGACTTCTTTTAACAGAAGACACACATTTAACCTCTATCTTATTCTAGACACTGTTATTTTGGTTCTCTGTTGCTTGTAGCCAGGTGCAATTCTTTATTGACAGCAGAGGTTTTGAGCACACCTTTTCCCACCTCTATTCACGGATAAAGAGGAGTTTGATGTAGCAGGTGTCCCTGAGGTGGCCATACTGTGAGCAGAGCTTACTGTCTGTGGGCCTGGGGCCTTGTGTTAGCCTCATCCTGTTTGCAAGAATGAACACACGGGTGGTTTCATCTCTCCGGACTGGAGGAGAAGACAGGGTTTGGTGCAGAAGTGCCCAGGGAGAGGAAAGAGAGGCAAGGACGGCAGAGGAGGGGCGGCTTGAGGCCAGGACCTGCAGAGCTGTTCCCGTGAGAGGTGCTCAGCCTCTGGGCCCAGGCAGTGTCCCTTCCAGGCCTGGGTGGCAAAGGACAGCACAGCTCTGGGGTGGGCCCAGAGCCGTGCATTTCTGCCTCAACCCCAGCCTGACCCTGATTCTCTAGCATGGGCAGCCTGGGGACACCAGGGGCAGACCTGATGGCTGGTGGGGGCCTGCTTTCCTAGAGGCCAGAGAGGAGACAGGTCTGGGCTTGTCTGAGCCCATGTGAATGCCCTGGAGGGGGCTGTGGTATGCAGCTGGGAAGCATGGCCATGTAGACGTGATATGGACACCTCATCTGTAGCTGCAGGCAGCCGAGCCGGTGCTGCAGGGAGTAGGAACCTGATGCACTTAATTAACGTCATAAATTCTGCTCAGCTTCCAGCCCTGTAGCTTTCTTATTACCTGGTGAGACTTCCCCTTTGCAGAGCTGACGAGCCGCTGCTCCAGACGTCCTGGAAGTGCACAGCCCTCTCTGCTGTGCGGGAGCTCACACCAAATTATCTCGGTCTGGCCAATGTTTGCTTCCTGAGTCAGCAATTCAGCCAAATGGCTTTAAAGGCATAGACAACTTTAATTTCTTTTTAAAGCAAAAACTTCTATCTCAGTCTAAGCAGCTCTGCCTGGCCTGCCATTTGCCAAAGGGCTTTGTTCTCAGAAACACCCTTTTGCCAGTTGATACTCATGATAAAGATACAAAACACGCAGCCAGGATCAGAAGGCGCAGCAGCTAACGTCTCTGCAGCTTGCGAAGCCTGACTCTCCTCTGAGTTAGGTGGAGGGATATTAACCCTCACTCTACAGACAGAGAACTAAGGGAGGGTCTGGCCTGTGTTGCTGTGGCGGGTGGTGCATCCAGGGCTTACACAGAGGTTGTTTCACCACCTATTAGCCCTGAAGGAAGAGGGGCTCATGATTAGCCAAAATATTTGTTTAAGTGAAATAGTTCAAATGTATGCGCATCCGCTCTGAGCCCAGCCCAGTACCAAGGGCCTTCAATATGTGATTTCATTTAAACACCATCTGTCTCTCCCACCGACACCTTAAAACTCCCGATTTTCTTGCAGGGCCCACAATGTCCCTCCATGACCCAAGCACATTCTAGGTCACACTTTGGCCAAAGTCACTGTCATGTGTGGCGTGCCCACTCCCTTGTTTCTACCTGTTATGGACAAGGAAGCATACCCCCTAAAGTCACCTGTCCATCAGCTCAGGACCATGTTGTGTCAGTCGACACAAAGTCCCCTCTGGCAGATGTGTGCAGCTGGCAGAGGGAGCGGGCTGCGTGGTGGCAGGGCTTCTCGGGCGTCTGGCAGGCGGTGGGTGGGTGAGGCACGGGTTGGCAGACAGAGGGATGCCAGGACAGTCAAGGGGCTGAGCAGGGCGGTGCTCCTCCCGCAGGCCCTGCCTGTCCTCAGGTGCCACGAGCAGGTCCAGGGAAGGTGCTGAGACTTCCGAGGGGCTGAGGTTCTTTATTTACCGGCTTCGATGGGTACTGCTGAGGGTGCTCCTGTGTCCTGCAGGGGGCAGGGCAAGGATGGGAGCTCAGACTTGACTGGGAGGAGGGGGAATATCGGTGGGCCGCCATGGAACCCGGGGCTCTGTGCCTCGCCAGCCTTGCTGGAGCTAAGGGGGTGCCAAGGAAAGGGATCCCCCAGGGAGGAGGCAGAGGGTCACTTTACACCCTAGGTCTGTATTTTGGCTCAGAAGCCTCAGAAATTCCACGCCACGGAGAGCCCCAGCGTGGGGCCAGCAGGCTGGCTCCCGCGGCGGCCGGCAGTGTGGGACCTCAGAGTCCTCCGCTGGAAAGTAGGCGGGAACTGCAAATGAGCATTTTGTCAGTAGTGTTCCTTGGAGCTCAAGGTGTTTGTAAGATATAATAGATGCTCTGCAAAAAGATTTTGTAACCGGCTGTCTACTTTGCCACCTTTTGGAAAGTCTTAAAGCCCATTAGTATATAAAGGCTCTGAGAAGTCCTGCATTACAGTGTCTGTTTGACTCAGGGTTTCCCACTGCCTGCCCAGGAACAGCTGCAGAGTACCAAGGTTCCCTGGAATGCGGATTGGGAAACGGCCCTGGATGTGGCCCACTCCGGGGCTGGACGTTCTCTTGGAAACTGGCCAGGCTGGTCACAGAGGTAATTTATGAGTTGGAGGGCCAGTCCAGTAATTTGCCGGAAGCCAGTTCTGCTCGCCTGATCTTGCGATGGCAGCACTTTGTACGAGGCTGTCCTTCCTGGAGGGGAATTAAAAGTGAAGGCTCAGAGGTTGACTGGAGGAGACTGAGGAGGAGAAAGAGGGTCAGTATTCTTGATCAAGGCAGTGGCTAAGCAGATGCTCTATGGCAGTCTCTTCCGACTCTTCCTACATGTCTTTCCTCATGTGGCACCATCCAGGGACCTCACGGTGACCTGCTGGCAGCAAGCGGCAAGAGCACCTGCTGTGTGCGGCACCTCAGAGGTGTCGTC